CCCCCCCCCCCCCCCCCCCCTCCTCCCCCCCCGGACGAGAATGGGTGGCGTCAAGATTTGGATGTGGAGGACGAGGCAAGGAAAGGACGAGCGACGGGGTGAGGGAGAGAACGAGCCAAAGAATAGGATGAGAATGCGAGGAGGAGGGAGGGGAGGAGGAGAGAAGGGAAGGAGGAAGAAGGAAGGGGGGGAGGAGGAAGAAGGCAGGGGCGGAGGAGGAACAAGGCGGGGGGGGAGGAGGAAGAGGGAAGGAGGAGAAGGCGGGGAGGAGGAGATATTAGTCGTTGAGGAGCTGTTGATTTCGAGAACTAGATGGGGGTTCTAGAAGAAATATTACGAACATGCAAGTTTCGTTTGGAAAGTGGAGGGTTCGAACCTGTGCCTGTCATGCAGTTCATGTCATCATCTCCTTATCTATCACGTCTTCCTCTCTCCATCTCCTTTCTCCTCCTCCTCCTCCCCCTCCTCCTCCTTTTCCTCCTCCTATGCCTCCTACTTTTCTTCCTAGCCTTCACAATCTCCGCTTGTCTACTGTGTTTGGACTAAAGTATGAACTTTCTTGTTTTGTATTTGATCGGTGCGAGGAGAGACCCGACGAGCTGCTCCGGCTTTTTTGCGTGTAATAGAATTTATATAGACCAAAAGTAGATAGCCATGATATTGGCGGGTCGATAAAATTGATTAGATTGTCATGATCAACAGCATCATTTATCATCCCTCATTATCATCGTCATCATCAACTTCATCTTTGTCAATTTGATATCAAAGGTGTGCTGTTATTGATGATGATGACCATGATGGTCATCATAGATTCATTAGATGAATGGATTGATTGATTGATTTATTAAACAATTGTTGAATGAAAAACTGCTCTTGGCGTAAAAGTCAAATATACAAATAGCAATTTGATTGTTATATGTAAATGCTTATATGACAGGATTAGTGAATATCCCCACAAAACCAGATATAAATGTACATAAATAAATGCTTAATTCAATACGATTCTGTTTGATTCATAGATGATCATGATGGTCATCATCATCAATAACAACACACCTTTGATATCAAATTGGCAAGTGATGATGTTGATGATGTTGATGATAATGAGGGATGATGATTGATGATGACAGTGTGACAACATATTGCGAGAGAAATACGAACTGAGCACGGATTTCTGGTCCGACGCAGTGTTTGATAACGGAGGTAGATGCAGTGGTTGTATGTTCTTTTCCCCTTCTTTTCCTCTTCTTTTTCTCTTTTTTTTCTTTACCTTTTGTTTTTGTTATTGTGCGCAAGTGTCCCCACGGTTATGTGGTGGAGCAGGAAGTACCCATATAACCCGTCTGCTTACTACTCTCTTCCCCTGAACGCAACACACCCTGATACCCAATGTATACAAGCTATCATTCTGGCCCGATGCGGCCAAAATGAGGGTGTGTTGTGTTCGGGGGAATGCGGTTGCGCCTCGCTGAGAAGAAGGAGACAGGGCAATAGGTAAGGGTGGGGAGAAGCAGAGCATGAGAGTGTTAGAAAAGCAGGCGAGGAAGGGATCGGGGGAAGAGCAGCCTCCCCGACAATAATAGGGCAGGAATGAAATAGATGTTGCAGAGCATGACAGGGTAAACGTGCATGCATATATATATCGAGAGAAGAAAGAAAAAATTGAAAAAAGGAAAAAAAAAAGAAAAAAAAGAGAGAAAATTGCTGAAGAAAAGAAAAAAGAAAACAAGTAAAAAAGAAAAAATATGTTGAACTTCGCTGTGACAGCGGCAATTGTTTTATCTGTGGATGTGTCATTTGCTTTGTTTGACTGATAGGCCTTCCTCTTCCCTTTCTCTTTCTCTTGCCTCTGTGAGGTTTGGTTTCCTCCTCCTTTTCTTTACCTCTTTGCCTTTTGGCTGCGTGCAAGTGGGTCCTCGTGACATATGGGGATGGGGGAAGCCAACGCTCAAGTGGGTCCTTGTGACACATGGGGATGGGGGCAGCCAACGCTCAAGTGGGTCCTTGTGACACATGGGGATGGGGGCAGCCAACACTCAATCTGTCATCCACGTGGCTGGTCTTGTACGTAAGAGGTGATGAACAGGCAGAGCTTTCCTTCTTTCCTTTTTTTTCTTTTGTCTTTTTCCGCCTTTGCGCTCGGATTCACAGTGTGACAATATAAATATACATACCTCAGGGTATCAGTTGTCGGGCAGTTGTTGATGCTTAACCACAACCGGGGTTAAGGTGGATTATCACTTACAGTCGGGGATTCTGCAGACTGTTGAGGGTTCAGCCTCCTGATGAGTCGGTGAAACTCCGACGAAACAGTTTGTTACAGCCCCTCGTTTGTTGCTGTCTTCTCCCTCTCTACCTACTCCCTTTTTGGCGTTTTGAAGCGGTTTTCACCCTAGCAGTAGCAGATGCAGATCCCAGGGCTCGATCCCTAGGCCTCACCTCACCCGTGTACAGTACCCCTGTGTTTGAGCCCGTGACCTGCGTTTTAGGAGTCAATTGTTGTCTGTCGTAGGTTGGTGTAGTTGTCGGGTCTTGGACTGTAGGTCTGTTGAGTAGGGGTCAAAGTTGTGTAGAGGTCGTAGCTGTAGAGATTCTGAAAGGTCAAGGTCGTAGCTGCTACAGTCCTGAAGGGTCAAGGTCGTAGCTGCTACAGTTTCGAAAGGCGAAGTCCGCACACTTCTGGAAGGCCCAGAAGTGGCCTTCGGAACGTTGCTCACAGCAGACCAGAGACAAGTGGCCAAGTGGTGAGTCCACCTTTGCTCAGTCAGCGGTACCCAGTCCCAGTCTCACTTAGTCCAGTCAGCAAGTGCCATGTGGGACTGTGTGCACCAACAGCCCGGTGGAAAAGGGGCAGACCAGTGACCAATAGAAGTATAAATCAAGAGGCAGCGTCCAGCCATTCATTCATTCTGCTGTGCGCCATGCGGAAGTGCTGCCCGAGCGTCTTGTGCGAGGTTGTCTGCAGGAGCGCCCGAAGTCGAAATGGGCCATGAAGAAGATAGAGCGCCATAGTCAGTAGTAGCGAGCGGCCATTAGCCGCCATAGGTTAGAGTTAGCTGTTAGCGAGTGTGAGTGTGTGTGTGTGGGACAGTGTGAATGCACGTGGGATATTCAGTGTGATCCAGAGTTGAGTGTATTCGAACAGTGGTGGTGGACACAGTGTCGGCAGTCAGATGGTTGGGCGCTCAGGCACCATAACCTGTTTGAAGTGAGTTTGTATCTGAACTGTGTTTTTGGTGTCCATATCTCTGAGCTTTGTGTGGGTGCCTGGTGCCAGTTTGGTCTGCCATCTGTTTGCATGCATGCAAGTTGCAGAAGAAAGTGAGTCTGATTGCATTGGTATCAGAGCAGGTTCCCGTTGTTTCACGCGCCATCGTCGTTTAAGCAGTGTGCCATAGCTGAGATGCGCCATCGAGGAAGGAGAAGGGTCCGCCATAGCCGTGCCGTTGAAGGTGCCACGTGTCTGCAAAGCAGACAACGACGAGAGAGAGAGAGAGAGAGAGAGA